ACCTGTGACCTCTTAGGTCATGGGTCGATGCTCTCAATCACTGAGCCACACTAGTTAGGCAATGATAATCTCAATAAACAATGTGTCCGGGAGATGAGAAGGAAGGAGAATAAGTGTTAAATCTGAGTGCTGTGTCTGATTTCCATGTCTGCTTATGAAAAATAAGCCTCTGTTTTCAACTAAAACATACACATTCATATACAGGGTGGGGTGAAGGTGGGTTTATGGTTATGAGTACAGGAAACACAGAGTTTATTCTTGTATTATTATTTATTGTATTCTTTTCCATACAAAAATACTATAAACCTACTTTTGCTGCACCCTATATATTTGAACATAAGCTTTAAAGGAATGTATAAGAATGACATGAGAACTCACAGGGATTCATAGCAATAAAAACTCAGGGTGGGGTGAAGGTGGGTTTATGGTTATGAGTACAGGAAACACAGAGTTTATTCTTGTATTATTATTTATTGTATTCTTTTCCATACAAAAATACTATAAACCTACTTTTGCTGCACCCTATATATTTGAACATAAGCTTTAAAGGAATGTATAAGAATGACATGAGAACTCACAGGGATTCATAGCAATAAAAACTTTCTAAAAATAAATCTTTAATAATATATAGTAAAATAACTGCCTATGTGCCATGTATTTTATCACTTAATTTTATTATTTTAATAAAACTTTATAAGGTACATGATCTTGTAGAACTGAGGGATTTCATGGACCTTCATTGAGTATGCATGTGCAGTTTCACTGAAATTGTCTTATTAACACAGAAATGCACAAATGTCAGGAAAACTATGTTTTATTCATAGTACTTTTCTTTTTTTGCTTAAAAATTCTATCAGGATATACTCTTGAAAAATAATATTTTCTGGGAATATAATTCTATTCCAAGTTAGAAGCAATAATATAAAGTTAAAAACTTTAACAACAGCTAAGATGATGTTTAGTAATAAGGAAAGAACTTTAGGCTGTTTTTAAAAGGTTAATTTGTTAATTAGGTGAACATCTGGGTTAGGTTCGCCCCTTCCCTTGGAAACCTTGATTAATTTATGAGATTTTCATCCCCATTTACTAAAAAAGCAGTGAGTCATCCGGTGTCACACACCAATGACAGCAAAGTTAATTGGATTCTAGATCCTTTCACATTTTTCCCTTCAGCAATTCCTCGGTGCCTTGAGTGGAACCATGCGCTAAGAGAGTCTGTGTATTTTTGTGTGTGTGAGAGAGATACAGAAATGAGAGGAATTACAAGTGATTGAAAATGAGTTTGAAAAAAACAGAAAAGAGTGTTTGAATTTCCTTTGGCTTATGGGAAGAAACTCTGGAGGGATACACAAAGTAGCCAAAACCAAACCCCAAAACTAATAAAAACAACTATCTTGATGCATGCTTTTTATTTTATTTTTAAATATATTTTTATTGATTTCAGAGAGGAAGAGAGAGGGAGAGAAAGAAACATTAATGAGGAGAGAGAAACATTGATCGGCTGCCTCCTGCATGCCACACACTGGGGATCGATAGAGCTTGCAGTCTGGACATGTGCCCGGACGGGAATTGAACCATGACCTCCTGGTTCATCGGGTGATGCTGAACCACTGAGCTACACCATCTGGGCGTGGTGCATGCTTTTTATAGGATTTTGATTTGTGAATTGTGACTGTATTTTTACCTACCCAAGAAAATGCTGCTTGAGATTGTCCACGGTTTAACGTGTTCCAGAAAGGGTCTAGAAAGGGAACATGGAGAAGCAGCAGGGGCTCTTTGTAGTCAGTATCTGCCCTGGAAGTCTGGGGGGAGAGGATTCAGGATTGAGAAAGGAGGGGAGAGGTGGATGGACCTGGGTTAGTGGTGACTGGGAAGCCCACCAGCTCTCTCCTACCGGTTCAGTAGAATTGCAACCTTTGTCTGGCTCTGGTAATTACACATCACATTCGGCTTACACATGCACCTGTATACGCTGTGAGATCTCAGTGGTATAAACCATACTCAAAGGTGAAGGGGAATTCACCATCTATTTTATTAACATCACTTCTGCTTTTACTTTGCCTTTATAAACTCTCAATGTTCCTTCATCCTGTTTTCTTTGCTAACTTAATATCTTTGAGTGTATTTTATCTTGTTATATTATGCATTTATATGAGTTACCATAAATTCTTCCTGGAACTGGAATGAATATGAAGAGACAGTGCATAACTAATCTAGGAAAATGCTAACAGATTATTTCTGAGAGGTGAGATTACAATGATATTACATTATTGTTTCATCTTTATTGAGACATAATTGACATATAACATTGTGTAAGTTTAAGGTATAATGATTTGGTATATTTATATACTGTAAAATATTTACCACAATAAAGTTAGCACATTCATTACTTCACATAATTACAATTTTCTTTTGGTCACAAGAACATTTGAGATCTCTCTACTGGCCATTTTAATTGTCATGTGGTTGGCCTTCTGCATGTCTAAGTATACATATTTTTATAGTGGGCATGAATTCCTTTTCTAATCAGATAAAATATATTTTTTACTAATGAGAATAAAATATTTGTGGTAGGACTGATAGACTTCAGCAGAAATTATATAAGGGTGGTAGATAAAGCAGACTAGAAAGGGGTTGTGAAACTTAGTCTTAATTTTCTTTTTACCATGTGCTTCTATGAAAATATGGGAGGTACAGTGTAAATATAGTGGTTCACCTGAAATACTCTACAAGAGAAATGCTATTCTTTTTACTTATTTCTCCTATAAAAAAATAATAGGGCATAAGCACAGTTTAAAATCAGTTTAAATATAGTCATATATCTTCTTTTTTTCAGTAATTGCAGTATGAACCATTGTATAGATATAGAATCATTCACACTATTTAAAAATCCCCTATAGTTGGATATTTGGGTTGTTTCTACCTTTATTTGGGTGAAATAAAATCCTAAAGGGTAGCTTGCCAGACCAGAGTGTTTGCAGCCAATGTGACTAAACACATTGAAGATATTTATCTTTCATCTTTAAGACCTACAAGACTTAGATGACTATTCTGTACCCAGCCCCTGGGCCTCACTGCACCCAGAACAGTTGGCTGTTGCCACCATATGCCTGCTTGTCTCTAGGCCCCAGACCACCTTCTTCTCACAGTCCCTGCAACCTGATCCTTGGTTATCTAGTGGTTTTACCTGGTACATTTCATCTATCAATCTTGCCTAATGATGATTGTCACCTGAATCAGTTATTTCATTTGGGGTTTGTGGGATGATATCTAATTCTGCCAATTGGCTTCTAACTAATTTTTTAAATGCAGCAACATCCAAGGAAGGAAACTTTCCCAGGATCAACCATTCAATAGGGTAAAAATATCAAGCCTGAAAAAAGATAGATGTGAGAGAGCAAGATGGTTATTTTAGTAGTTCTCTGTAATTTATACTTAATTGCACATTGAGAAATAAGAATAAAAAAATCTAATTCTACAATCCGGATTTATGTAAAAATTTTACTCTACAAGACAAAGAATCAAGGCCATAAAAAAGCAAAAAAAAAAAAAAAAAACACAAAACAAACCAAAAAACCCCCAAAAAAACAAACAAAATAATTTATTTGAATCCATCTTTTCTTGAACAAAATTAAAAAATGAGTCATTTCCTTCAACCTTTTATGTCTTTTCAAAAACACCATTGGTGATTGACAACCTAGGAAAAGGCATAGTCTTGCTTTTGTGACAACCATCATTGTTCTGTGGTACAAAGAGCAAGAAGGAAATTCGGGAATGTAATAAAAAAAATAAATATAGCAATCTTAACAGTTATGAGAATTTAATAAAACAAAGCCTGCTAAATTTTTTACAACTATAAAGCTTCCACATTTGTAAGTTAGATGTGACTGTCAGTGATGATGACAGTGAAAGTATACGTTAGAAGTAATTGTGCTTTTTAGAGAAGCTGGACACGAAAAGGCCAGTTGGAAAGTCCCAGCTTTTTCTTCCTGTCCATCAGCACGATAAATACTATCCACGGAGGACCTTCACCTTTCCCAGCCACGTTCCGCTGCAGCACAGTGCACGGTGCCTTCTGTGTATGCAGGGAAACCGGCAGTCCAAGTTCCATAAATGACTCTAGTCTGTGTTTAAAAGGATCAAGATGTATTGAGCTTCATTTCTTCACTGATTCCAGATGCATATACATTTCCACTGTTTTTCCTCAAAACATTCCTTCATTATTTCACTCCTGTGCACTGCTTGCCTATGAGTGCTCACCTGGCAAAGAGATGTTAAAATATGTGACATATTTTATAGATTTCTAGCTCTAAAGGTAGAAGGACCTTACATCCTTTCTTTCCATGGCTGCAAATAATGTGTGTGTTTGGAACTGGTTCAAGAAAATTACATTTATAAGCTAAAAAGTATAGAGTAAGTAATCACTAAATTCTGTAGATAATTTCTTTTTGAAACTGAAGGTTTCCCTACTTGAATGGCCTGTTTTTTAAGATCCTAACAGCCAGTCTTGGGGTCAAAACAAACCGTGCCAAGGGCAATTAATGAGGTCAACAGACAGCATTTAAATAAATGCAGCCGCAAGTTCAATGTACAAATAATTGGGCTGAGTACTAGAATATGGACACAGGTCAACCTACAAGTTTGTTAACCCCTGTCCAATTAGGTAATAAACACATGTAGTTATGAAAACAACACTGCTAGAATAGCCAAAGAACAAAACTTTTTGGCTGTCTTTCCTATCTCAGAAGCAACTGTCAGAAGTAAAAGAAAGTAAGTTAGGACTTTTTACCAAAGCTGGCGCATTCACCTTGGGAACAAGGGGTGTGGGAGTTTCACTAACCACAGTAATACTGCATTATTCATGAAATTGATCTTTGAATTTACTGGGACCTAGAGCATAAAACCACAGGCAATCAGGAGAGAAAAATGGTCTCTGTATGTTTAGGCCATGTTTATTCTACTGAGGAATATTTATTCTACTAAGGATCACTAGTCCTTAGTTAAAATAAGCAAATAGGAACCCACTAAAGTATGAAATCCTTAAAAGACTGAGTCTCATTTAATCTCTATCCCTAGCACATAATTAACATCCTGGAAATGTTTGTGGATTGACTGTAAATAAAATAAGTGCAAAACAGTTTCTGATAGAATAAAAAAGCAAATATTCTACCTGTTTATTTTTACAATGTAGAATAGCTACCATAAATCTCTATTGGAGGAAAATAGCACTGTGAAATATGTTGGCTCCCTCTAGGATCGGTTGGGAGAGAGACAGAGGAGGACAATTTTAGAAGAGATACTAGAGAGAAGGGAGACAGTGTCACAGAGAAAGAGAGGAAAAGAGAAGGGCAGAATCAGGGGGATATCAAAGGATGGGGGTGAAGGAAGAGAGGTGCTGGAAGACAACGGCACACAGTGGGACACAAGGACCCTGAGGGGGAGAGGTTGGTGAGAAGAGAGAGGCCCGGAGATGGGGGAGGGCACCAGGGCTGGGAGTGTAAGTTGGTGTTCCTGGGCGCCCTTTCCCTGGAGGAAGCAGTTTTGAATAGTCCTTTATGTGCTTGAAAAGAGCATTTCTCCCTTCGAAGCTTATTTCTGAAATAAAGTTTTCTATTTCCAAAAAGTCGTAAAGATATTGCTCATGTCTGAAAGCATTCTCATCCAAGAGGCTGATTTTTTATTTGGAGATTAGTTTTTTTCACATGCAAAACCAACCTCATCATTTTGTGTTCAGAAATTGCAGCTGCCATATTCCACAGTTTAAGATGAGCATTTATTTCATTATGGGGAACCTTAAAAGACAAATCTCAAGCTTTCATTTGATTTGTTTGCATTCTAATTAGAACAATAGATATGCAGAACAAAGGACATGTAGAAAAACAAATGAATTTAAGTAGGATAAAATTTTTAATTGGATACAATTTGAAAATTAGGAAGCAAGCTCTTAACATTCTTTCTATTTCTTATATTAAACGAAAGTATCTCTTAATTTTCTAATCCAGGTAGGTATATTTTTAGAGAGTTGTTTTTTTTTAATTGTCATGGAATAATATTCCACTCTTGCATGTTATTAAAAACATGCTTTAACACAATTTTTAAACCAGAAGTTCCTAGCTGGATCAGGGTCTGCTCCTAAATTACTTGACTCCCTTTTCTCCAGGCTCCCTGGGACAAGCAGGAAGGCACTGATGGGGTCCTTGGAGGTCCTCTTGCCACTTAGCCCATAAATGACCACATAGCTCTCGGGACCGGGTCTCCTCCCTGCACGCTGATTTCCCATGCATTCATCCACTGCTAGCTGTTATTTTTGGTATTTACCCAGAGGTGTGCATGAATTGCTTCACTAGAACTGTGTTGTTGTTTTTTTGCCAGAGGGGAAGTTCCTGTGTGTGGTTATTGATGTTCTTTTCAAAGTCAATAAATGACAAATAAATGATGGAAGATGATTTGTGGCAGTTATGCCTGTAGGCAGCTGAAGCCCACAAAAAAGGGAAGTTCATTTCATTATTTCAGAAGGCTGTAGGTTTAGCTTCTCCGAGGCTGGGAAGGTTGGGGGCTCCTCAGTGTTACTCCTGCGGTTAACTGGGTAAGCAGTTTCCTGGCATCGCCCTCAGCGAAGGTTTTGTCCTCTCGGTGGGAGGCCAGTCCTCACTGTGGCCCTGTTCACTTGGGAGTAGCCCGCTTCCAGTCTGTAAGCAGGAAGGGTATTTGGGGGCGACAGTGTTGAGCACATTTTGTAGATTATTTGTGGTGGTTTTTCTGGTCCTATTTATAGTGACACATCATTGGTTCTAAAACCACCATAGTCACTGGAAAATCATCAAGATAACCAAGGTGGCTTGAGTACTGGCCTAAGATCACTATCATACCCCAATGTGGATTCGTTGGGTGAAGTGCTGGATTCTAGATCTCCCTTTCCTCCACTGGCCCAAGTGCACGGCCCCAGAAGATAGTGTGTTTGCCTGTTTTGTTTCTTAAGATTATTTTCAGGTGGGGAACTATGTACAGCAGCTATAATTTCTCATTTTAATAACCTCTTCTGAGACTTACAACAAATTCTGGGGAAAGCGGGGCTGAATGCAGAGCCCCTCCAAGGTAGGATTGCCAAAATCAGGTTCATACTTACTCTGGATGGTCTTGCTGTTGGGCAGGGATGTGCTGAATAACTTCATAAATTGTACTGTGCAACTCTTGCCCAGATGCACCATCAGAGGCTGGAACAGACCTACTGGGCATCTAGAAAATGTAGCACATTAAAAAAAAAAAAATAGCAGACTAGTACACAGTCTTTCCACTATGCTGCAAAGCTGCAAACAGCTGCAAGTAGTGATGAATAGAGAATTATAACTGTTTCTCTTCCCTACAATACTCAATTCCTCCTTGCTATAGTTTCCTGCACATGCCCTATGGTATTTAGTGTAACAGCATAGCTATGAGGTTAGAAGAGGAATAGCTTGACAAAGCTATCATTTTTTTTTATAATTTAAGACAAAAGTTGATAGTATTGTGAAGGAACTAAAATAGAAAGAAAGAATGGCAAAAGAGAAGCTATCAGGACAGCTTAGAATCAGAGAGCGCATATTATTATCTATACAGTAAAAGACTAAGCGACCATTATGGTGGAACGACCAAAACGACTGGTCACTATGATGCGCACTGACCACCAGGGGGCAGACGCTCAACGCAGGAGCTGCCCCCTGGTGGTCAGTGCGCTCCCATAGGGAGAGCGCTGCTCAGCCAGAAGCCAGGCTCATGGCTGGTGAGCTCAGTGGCGGTGGTGGGAGCCTCTCCTGCTTTGTGGCAGTGCTAAGGAGCAGCAATCCAAGCTGTAAGGAGCAGCGAGCAGGCAGGCAGTAAGGAGCGAGAGATCCCGGATTATGAGAAGGATGTCCACCTGCCAGCTTAGCAGACATCCCCCGAGGGGCCCCGGATTGTGAGAGGGTGCAGGCCAGGTGAATATCATGCACCGGGTTTCTAGTCTTTTATATTACAGCCTGATTAACTTTTTGCACCATTTATGTCTCCAAGGATGGTTGAAAGAAAGACAAAAGCCCTCATCACATTGCAAGTTAGTAAAGCCAGTACCAAGAAATATAGAACACACAGAGGGAGATGTTTAAGTTTGAATGCAGTAAGGGGCTCTATAGACTAAAAGGCTTGGGTGAATGTGGAAAGTATAGTAGTGAATTTCTGTCTAGTTAAAAACCAACATGTAGTTTATTGAAACTGGAATTCATAACTCCTATCCCTTGTATTTAATAATTAAATTTTGTAAACACTGCCTTCTATTTATAAAGTCTGGTTCCCCTCCGTATCGTATCCCAAACTCCTCCTATTCTTCACGTTTGTGATCACTTTCTGTCCTCTCTGTATCTCTACCTAGGACCTTTTTACTTGATAAATCATCCGAAAGTTCTGTTTCTCATCCCAGGTTGGCTTGCTAGGTTATATTGGAACAACTTAACTTTATGTTTTTCTGGAAACTGCCTGTTCCATTCCACTTGCTAAAGCTGTCGTGGGCAGCCCTAGAATATGTGATTTGTCCTTTGTCCTTTTTTTTTTTGGTGTGTGTGTGTGTGTGTGTGGTAAGGAGATTTTTGGTTTACAGTTTGTACTTGAGATCCACTCTTGATTTTCTTTGGTACGGAGGCGTTCATGGCCCGTGCTAAAAGCAGTCTATAGATAATAACTCACTTAGCTAACCTAACATTAGCGCTGTTAACACATAATAAATTGGTTGATTTCATGCCATTGCTTCCTGTTCCACTTCTGAAAGAGGTGCTACGGGGACAGTGACATGTACAGCAAGTAGAGAGAGGATAGCATTCCATCTGCACACGTACCACAACCAGATAGGAGGCGATTCTGATTTTTTAAAAAATGCAAAAAGTTAGTAATTCAATGTATTTCCCTTCTTAACTTCAATATTCATATCTTGGTGTTATTATTATTTCTCCTTTTCTTCTCCAAGATGTTGCATTTTGCTGCTAATCTTCACACACAATTGCCATTCTGGCTTCTCCTTCCTACATATGTTCTGGTCCTCACCCTTCTCCTCCTCCTCCTGCCGTTGTTGCTTTGATTTCTCACTTCTTCCCGAGGCACCTGGCACCCGTGAAGAACCTTATCTGATTCCTTGGGAGTTTCAGCTTTGAAGATGGGCATAGCTCCAATTAAAGTTATTCTACTTATGACAGAAATAACTGGGGCTTCAGGTATGTAATGAAAGCACTCATTTGTCTCCTCAAGTTCTTGCCGATTGTAGCATTTTTACAGCAAATAGAAATCCTCCCAATAAAATCTTCAAACTGAATGCTGATTAATTACAAGGCTAAATGTTAAGTTTCTTACCTAGATCTCACTCTAATGAATCCCTAGGAAGGAAAAGTGCCTGATTTAAAAGAAAGAACTCCTAACTTTGAAAATTCAACTCCAAGTCTTATCAGCTCTTTAGTTTTCTGCTCTTCCACTTAGAGGCCACTCCTTTTGAAAGGGGTACTTCTGCCATGGTGGAAAGCTGTTTGAATCACTGACCCACCAAATACTTACGTTTGCCTTTTTGGTTGTAGAAGTGAAGGGTGAGCCAATCCTGTCTGAGACTGACTAGGGTATTGCAGAGCTTTTGCTATGCAGTCCTGCCCTTCCCTTCGTCTGCGATGATGTAGGCACTGGCACTACTCAGCCACCCTTAGGATGGAATCCAATCAGTCCCCCTCCATTACTCACATGGTGTTTGTGAAATAAAGTCTGTGGCCAGGAAACTGACTGGATGAACCTTATATTGATAGAATTCTCTGAGCAAGTGAGGTGACTATCCCTAACAACAAATAGGTTTAAGCCACCCAGAAGCAAGTAGTCTGTTTATGCCGTCTTCATTACGTGAACGATCATAGGAGAATAAGGAAGCTGAGAAAAGATCGATCCTACACAAATCTATACAGATGTCAATGAGCTGAATAGCTCAGAAACACATTCTGCATGCTGTGAAACAAAACCGATTGCTTCAAAAGACCTTGTCTTTGATGGCTGGACAAAAAAAAGGCTTCAAGTGTGTAAAAGCTCCCCCTCTCACATCTCAGGCACCTTTAGGATAAAAATAAAGATGCGTACTTGCTTACTTTGGGTTTATGTGGTGCCTTTCTTATGAAGAGCATAAGGTACCTTTCAAGGGTATGATCAGTCGTCTTTGCAGTGACCTCAAGGAATATGAGGGGAATGGGGAAGGGGAAGCTGAGGGGGGGGAGAGAGAGTTGGTGAAGTGACAGGTTGTAGTCCATGCAGTGGTGCGAAATGATTCAACCAGGGATTCCTGATTCCTGATTGATTCTGTTCTCTTGACCTTCTACCTAGTTAGTTCTCACCAGTGGGCTTACCAGGCAAATAATGTTTATGGATCAGTGTCACTTCCTTTCTTGTGTCAGCCTTATTTATAAAGTCTAAGGAAGGTGCTTAGCTCCTCAGATCCAGCCACAGTGAGTCACACCGCTGCCAGGGGACGCAGCCATCTGACCTGCACTGCCCAGCGCTCAAAGGAGTGCGGCTGACACTTCTGCCGAAGCAGAATTCTACTACTCAGCTAATCAGCCACTAGGGAAACCAACCCTGGGAACACCAGAAGCATCTGGGAAAGCAACAAATTCGTATATTCCGAAGTCATCCAGAGCATCTTCATGGCCTGAAACGGAAAACAAATACTACTTAAAAACCAGACGCCTCAACTTGCTGCTGTTGTTTTTAAGCCTTTGTAAAACTTATCTTAATTGTTTGCTTCAAGTGGTATGTGTAAGCAACCAATTTCCCAATCCCTATGGTCGCATGGGTACTAAGCAGTGTTGGAAATCACTCCTTCTGAAGCTGAGAATTGAAACTGGATTGGGACAAGTATTCTTAAAGCCTGACCTGGGAACAGCGTATTCTGTATTGGAATAAACACTCCTGGGCTGGCTTGTCCTTTGTAACTGTCAGTTACAGAGACTTACAGCCACCAAGGCTCGGTCTGGCAGTTGCCGCAGCTCTTCATCCACTCATAATATCTACTGCACCCCCTGGATCTAACCGAGACCACCAGGACAAATAAAAAAGAAATAACCACAGCTGCGCAGACATACAAAATATAATGCAGTATGATGTCAAGATCACTAAACTATCATCTGAAAAATGGCAGGAATGGGGTGGCGAGGAGGAACCAGGTGGTCTCTTTGGGGCCTTTCCTAGCCCCAACATTCCATCATCTATGAGAAAGGACTAGATAAGAGGAGGAAGACCCATATTTACTAAGCATCCAGGCATCGAATTAGGCATGCCACTCACATCATGCTTTTTAATTCTCAAAGCAACCCTGAGGGGAAGTTATTATCTTCATTTTATAGATGAGGAAGTTGAGGTCAGGAAAAATAATTTTCCCAAGGTGACACTGGGGGAAAGTGGCATTTACGGGAGTAAAACCCAGCTCTGTGTGACTCCAAGTCCCATTGTGAGCTTAGAACAACTCAGTAGGGAGTCAGTAGTGATGGCCTGAGGAGCATGCTGGGAACAAAGAAGCAGCAAACCTTCCAGCCTCCCTTTCTCCTCCCTGGGATGGAGCCGCCAGCACTGTATCTGCCTTTGGAATTAACAAAGTGAGGGAACCCTGGGCAATTTTCAAAATAATAATAATAGGATCAGCGGAAATGGATTCAGAACTCATGACAGTGGGCAAGTGACTTAATCTCTCTGAGCCTTGATTCTCCTGCCTGTAAAATGGAGTTGAGTGCCTTTCACTTTTAAGAGCATTTGTCTTACAGACTTGGGCGACTTACATAAAATCAAGGCACTAGTCAAAGGTAAAGGATTGTTAGTATGACAACAGTATTAGCTTATGTGAATTCTGTTATTTCATTAGCACTTTATATATAATGAATCATATCAGTACTATTCATTAATACACATTACAGTGAGAATAACTCCTTTCAGCCTGGCCGTTACCTGAACATGTTTGTGCTTTTCTGTATTCTGTTTCTGGCCTGAAAAGACAAATTGGCATTTCTGTCAGTCTTACCAACTGAGGAAAAAGCATTCAAGAAAAAAATTATTTTCATAGGAACAAATGCATTACCTGCCTTCTAGCTTCTGTTTTATAACTGAAACCAAGAGAGAAAAAACACAGTAAGAAACTTATTAGTACCTGTATAAAGCCATTTAGAATGTTTTTCTAATTTTCACCTACCTTTGTAGGGTTGGTATTTTTTCCATAAGAGAAGAAGACACATGGATATAATCAAAAAGAGTGATATTCCAGTTATACTTGCTAAAGGGGACAATGACTTCCCTTTTTGTGCAAGCTTCTCTAGTCCTAAATGAAAGGAAAATACAGTTTTAATGTTTTTTATTGAAGGTCAATACTGAGTTGCTATATAATTTGACTTGTATAAGTTCATGCTTTATCTTAAATGAGACACTACTGAATATATATATATATATGAATGCACTTATTTTAGAATATGCCATAAACACTTTGAGGGCATTTGTGACTGGAAATGTGGTGAGCTGCCCCGATAATACTGGTAAGTTGTACTACATATACCAAATAGCCCATGTCATACTTTTTTTTTTATGTCACACTTTTCAATAGCATTTGCCACCATGATCCCATTGTGTACAACATCCCCAGATGCTAGGTTGTTCTCTCTCTCTCCTTCCATCACACTCTTTTTTTAAAAAAAATATTTTATTTTTTACAGAGAGGAAGGGAGAGAGACAGAGAGTCAGAAACATCAATGAGAGAGAAACATCTATTAGCTGCCTCCTGCACACCTCCTACTGGGGATGTGCCCACAACCAAGCTACATGCCCTTGACCGGAATCGAACCTGGGACCTTTCAGTCTGCAGGCCAACGCTCTATCCACTGAGCCAAACCAGTTAGGGCCATCTCACTCTTTCAATATGATTTGGGTATGTGAATTTTCTAGGGAGGTGGTATCTGATTAAATGTGTGAAAGGGGAGGTGTTTATTTTCAAGGCACTTTACTAAATTTTGACCAATAAATAAATTTCATTCCTAAAATAGAATGTATGTATGATTTTTAAAAATATTTAAAATCCCACTCTATGACTAAAATTCCCTTTTTTTGCAACTCATTCCTTCCATTAACATCCTATATAAAATATAGTGCTAATAGTTAACATCTGCCTAGTGCTTACAATATGTCAGGCTCTGTTCTAAGAATACATGAAACATACTGAGCCACTGAATATTTATAATAATCTTATTAGGGGAATAGTATTATTATTATTATTATCCCCTCTTACAGATGAGGAAACTGAGGCTTCCCCAAGGTGACTCAGTAAGTGGCAGAGTCCAGAGGAGGTCCCAGGCTCTCGACACTTTGTGCTGCCTCACTTTGTTGTTATTTTAACACAACTTACTAACCTGGGTAATGTTAACATTAGTTCCAGACTATCAATATGGTTAGTCATAGTGTTCATCTGTAAAGTGGGGAGTAGTTGTGACCTCCAACAAATGGGAGTAACATGTGTCTTTCATTTTATCAGGTAACTGAGAGATTGATATGGAAATGAGTCATAGAAGTTGCCTGTCTCTGTCCAGTTGAATGGGGAGGGAAAGTCATAGAATGTCATTTCTATTGCACATGGTGCTAACAGCCTGGAGAATGTGCATGTGGCCACTTGGCTCAGCAATAAATATCCAGCCTGCACTCTCATCTTTCACCATAAAACCTCCGCTGAGCCCTAACTGGTTTGGCTCAGTGGATAGAGTGTCAGCCTGCGGACTCAAGGGTCCCAGGTTCGATTCCTTTCAAGGGCATGTACCTTGGTTGCAGGCACATCCCCAGTAGGGAGTGTGCAGGAGGCAGCTGATCGATATTTCTCATCAATGTTTCTAACTCTCTATCCCTCCCCCTTCCTCTCTGTAAAAAATATATTTAAAAAAACAAAACAAAACAAAAACCTCTGCTGAGGGCTCCAGCAGCCGAGACAAGGAGGAAACCTTAATCTTTCCCTTCTTTCACTGTGGAACTATATACATTCTTTTGGCTTTCCCTTTAAACACTTTCACTTTTCATCTTTCCCAGAATCTTTTTATAATGTGGTATAGATCGCATATGTCAAACTCCAGTTAAAAAGTCATGGAAATTATTCTATCTTTTCTAATTTCTCATACTATGCTGTTCATGTATGCTTTATAAGTCTTTAAGAGTTAAGCAGGTTATTTTTCATTATGAAAAGTCTTTACCATCTCAGATGAGAACTTTATAAATTGTTTTATGCATTCAGAGAATTGTGTTTTTAAAATGTTCTTTTTATGGGATGACAATACATGTGTAACATTCTTGCCTTTAAACAGATTTTAATTAAACTCCTTTTAACTCTGGGTGGAAGAAATGAATGCAAATGGTTTAGGTTACAGCATTGTCCTGATATGCCAAGGTTGCAGATTCAATCCCTGGTCAGGGCACATACAAGAACCAACCAATGAATGCATAAGTAAATGAAACAACAAATCAGTGTTTCTCTCTCTCTCTTTCTCTCCCCTTTTCTCTCTTTAAAATCCATCAATAAATTTTTTTAAAAAAATGAACAGAATGGTAATTTATTGGTTCTAGATTGCTCAACCTTCCTAATGCCACGACCCTTTAATACAGTTCCTCATGTTGTGGTGACCCCCAATTTCATTGTTACAATTTGAACATAATTAAAGCATAGTGATTAATCACAAAAACAATATGTAATTATATATGTGTTTTCCAATGGTCTTAGGCGACCCCTGTGAAAGGGTCGCGACCCCCAAAGGAGTCGAGACGGGATTGTTTTTCCTCCTTGTTAATAATTCATAGAACTATTAACATTCTCCCACTGTTAGAAAGCTGAGCTTTGAGTTTGGAACTACCTTAGCACTTGGGGACCTCTTTGTGAAGTCTCAGCCTTTCTTCAGACAATGTGCTCCTGCCTCATAGGTTTGTTCTCTTGAAAGAGCTGGGCAACTTTGGCTGAAGCCACTTGACGCTGATGTTCTGGATTTCCACATCAGTAACATGAGGAGGTTAGAGTGATTGATTTTTAAGTTCTCTATTGCTCTGTTATTATATGATTTGAGACAGCCAGAGAGGTTTTTTTTGAAGTTTATTACACGAATATGACATGAATCCATTACATGCTAGTAACTGAGTCTCAAAAACTTGTGTGTGTGTGTGTGTGTATGTATATATATACAAATATGTTATAATTTTTACTGATATAAAGGATGTGTAGCACATAATTTAGAAATAATAATAAAACACTCAATATTCTATTTTTAATTCCCAATAAAGCTACTTGATTCTCATAGGAACAGGATGCTTTTGTTGAGCATTATGTATATATAAAACCAAATGTATATATTTTCCCCACTTATTTGGTATAGAAGTATCATATCAGTAATAATGAAAATAGTAAGAAAAATTAAAGCATCATTTCTAGGTACAGATAAAGAAATAATCTCAGAGAAACTAAAATATTTGCCACAGTCAGTAAGTCCCAGATCTGATACTGGAACATAAGTGTTTTTTTTTTCTAACTGCAAGTTCAGTTTTTTTCCTGTTAATCTGTGGGTAAAGAATGGTTCTATAATTGGCAGGTAGACTCCCATATATTCAGTTTTTCCTTTAACCCTTTATAACACCAGACTTGATGTACTTTGACTCTCTCTCTTCTTTTTTTTTTAATATATTTTATTGATTTTTACAGAGAGGAAGGGAGAGGGATAGAGAGCTAGAAACATCGATGAGAGAGGAACATCGACCAGCTGCCTCCTGCACACCCCCAACTGGGGATGTGCCCGCAACCAAGGCACATGCCCTTGACCGGAATCGAACCTGGGACCTTTCAGTCCACAGGCCAATGCTCTATCCACTGAGCCAAACCAGTTTGGCTCTCTCTCTTCTTAATGGCCAGACTACCTTCATACAAGATCTACCAAAACTTAATAAACCCTGACCCCTCATAAATAGTCAGTGCTAATGTATTCTAATCAAGTTTCTGCAAAGCACTTTACCTTGGGAAAAACTGCAGAAAAACATTTAAGTATAGTCTCAGCTTTTTGCTCCTTATAAACTTGAAAATACGCTAGTAGCTATTATCTCAGAGTAGTTCTCATTCTAATGGTGAAGTTATACTCTGGCCCTTGCAGGATTCTGAAGCCTGGTAGTAGGTTTAACATATAATGAATGGATGTATCCCACTAGATGAGACATATTTCCTCCCCTCTCCACTATTTTAAGCTTTTTTTCACCTTTGATATGTGTGTGCTAAAATGCCCAAGTCTACACATTCCGTCCTACAAAGGACCCCTCTCATTCCCTGTTGCATTACTTCCCTATTTCCGTAGACTCCTTCCTTATTGCCCTCTTGCCTCGCTTCCCCTTGTTTGCCCTACATCAGAGAACCACCCTGTAGTGACCAGCGCCCCTCAGCCCCAATCCTTGCCTTCATTCTGTCTCAGAAAATGCAAGATTTCCCATGTCTGACATTTGAAATTTGCCCCCTTTCACAAAATAAAAAGTGCCAAACAGGTCAAGGATCAAATCAAGGGCCACAGTTGCTGTAGTCTCAGCTGTAGGCAAGTGTGTTTAGAAGAGATGTCCTTTTAGAAGCACAACTGAAGACAGCAGGGAAATTCAGACCAAGTAGCCATGGATGCTGAATGCAGTTCTGGACACTTCCAGGAACACCAACCAGTCTTTCTCCTTTCCGAGAGGTTTCTACTCCATAGCATGCCACCCCCTCCCCCTTATTTAAACATGATTGACTCATTTACCAAAGCCTTAGTGCAAATGCTATGTGCCCCCTCCTTAGGCAAACAAATAAAATGAAATCACATATGAAGTGTAAATATGGGCAAGAGGTGTGGTATCCATGGTATCGCAACCCGGCTGTTTGAGAAACTGCACCCGAAACAGGACAGCCATATGCTACCAGTCAGCACGCCTGTTTCTAGACCAGAATGGAGATTGGAGATCTCTCCCATCCAATATGTTCGCTGATTACGGCGGCTGATTCATGTCCCTACAGAGATGAAGGCGCCATATTGAGAGATGTGCTATGTTCACACTCCACCATGGCCCCACCTGACAGATTCAGTTATTCAGGGATGTAGTTCTAGCTTAGTTGTTTTCTCCCGTGAGCCAAAGTGCAATACACCTACTGGACAGCTTAACTTGAGAAATTTCTAGGTAGATGGAAGAAATTAATAAATTAATTTTCCTGTCATGGGTCATTTTCCTATTCTCAGGATCACATACAAATTAAAAACATCTCTATTATGTCTAAATATCAAAATATAGGCATGTGGACCTTGGGAACTCTAATAATTTGCATGTCTTCGTTAAACATGAACACTTGAATTTTAATCACACGTACTTTCATTTTATATATATTGCATGGCACAATAGTGATTTAGATCCATTAAAATTTAAAAGTGGTAACACCTTCATTCAAGGAAGTCTATAATTAGGGTAATAAAATTATTGTGTTTTTTTTTCAAAATACAGATGCTAATTGACTATTTTAGTTTCTAGTCTTTCCTTGAAACTTATAGTCTAGATATTATTTTTACTTAAATGTATTTCATAATTTCTCATTAATAGAAATATATACACATGTCATGGACAAACCAGGGTGTCTCTTTGTATATAGCATAAGGTGATGAGAAAATACACACTATCTTGAATATGTGATATACCTGTTAGGAACACCATAGTCTTACTGATATTCTCAGTCAAAAACAGTTTACTAGTGTATAGTGGCTAGAAACAAGGGCTTTGAATTCAGATATTATTTTATTACTTACAGCTATGTGACCTTAACCATTGCCCTATTTTCTTTAAGATATCTCCCTGTGATACAGAAAGGTCAATTAATTAATATCTCAAAGTAGATATCACTGGTAGCCCACAGTGGTGGAAGGCACCATTTTACACAGGCAGGAAAACACAGAGCTAATTGTGACATTCTCCAGCCTTCCTCTCCCCAACTAAAAGTCCCCAATAAAACTTTTGATTATTTCCTGACCTCATTATTTTCTCTCCATCCTGGTGACCTCAGAGTCATCTTTGACTCCTTGTTCCTTTGCCCTCTACATCTTATTGCTGAGACTTTTTGGTTGGCCACATTATTTGCCTCATTAAAAATAAAGAGGTTCATCTGTTTCCTATAACCTGATTCTAGTTAAACCAAACACAGCTCGGTTCTGTAAATATTTCAAAGGCAGGTATGTTATCCCACAGAATTATTTCTATTTCTCCACAGATTGCTCATCAGAGTGGATGGCCGGTAAGTGTTCAATTGATAGTTACAAGTGATGTTCATTTTTCTTACTGTAGGTTGGTATACACTTAATCTGCATTGCAGAGATTCATATTCATTTGGAAAACTTTAAATGCCTAACAAAAACACATCCATACCACCCATTTTATTTGCCACTGGCCACTGCTTGAAAGTTCTGAGGACGTTTGGGGGTTGAAATATATTTCTAGAAACCACAAAGAGGTCACTAATGTTGACAACCCTGAATCCCTCTGAAAAATAAGCACCTGCTCCTCTTATTTACTATAATAACACATGCCTGGTCTCTGTACAGGTCAAACAGGTTTTTTAGAATTTGCAAAAGGCAATTATTGGATATTAAGACTGTGGCTGTCTTTGAACCTTAATAATAAGACCTTCATCAAATACTGGGGGCTTCTGATCTTATGAAAATAACTTGGCTAAGTATTAATGGAGAAAGTTTAGGCAATGGGAAAGACAGTATATATCTACACATTATAACCATGTTTTTATTTCAGGAAGCATGAAGAACAAGTCTAAGATTACATCCAGATTGCCGATAAACTTTTTATACACTTAATTATGGCTTGCTTCAAAATCAGGTTTTGGTTACCCACTGAGGTAAAAAGCTGGTTAAGCCTATTACAAATCTAGCAAAATAAAAAGCAAAGGCCGCACATTAGTTGCTTAAATGCTTGCTCCCCAGATTAAGTTACAAGCGTCTTGTTAGCAGGAGTTATTTCTTCAACTGTCATTCTCAATGCCTACCCTAGCATCTGGTCCATAATAGGTGCTAAATGAAGAATGAATGAGTGCTTGATTTATATCACCTATTTACACATATGCTCTGGGATATATAAGGGAATTGTATTATCTACTTCCCAAATGAAACTTCATTCAGGTAAAACTCTAGAGCTGCATTATCAAATATGATAGTCACTAGACACATGTGGTTATGCACATTTAAATTAAAATTAGTAAAGATGCAATAAAATAAAACTCCAGTTCCTCAGTTGCATAACCATAATTTAATGTAGACATTGAACACTTCCTTCATTGCAGAAAGTTTGCTCGATAGCATTCTTCTAGAGCAGGGGTGGGCAAACTTTTTGACTTGAGGGCCACAATGGGTTCTTAAACTGGACCGGAGGGCCAGAACAAAAGCATGGATGGAGTGTTTGTGTGAACTAATATAAATTCAAAGTAAACATCATTACATAAAAGGGTACGGTCTTTTTTTTTTTTGGTTTTATTCATTTCAAACGGGCCGGATTTGGCCTGTGGGCCGTAGTTTGCCCACGGCTGTTCTAGAGAGTGTGGTATTTTCTTCATATAAAAAACCCCAAATCCCACCATGCCAGTATATAAATCCTAATGTACTCAGATGGTTTTGCAATTGTGAATACTACCCTCAACTTTAAAGAATCCAGGACCCCATCCACTATATATTTCCTTATCAGCCTGTAGGCTTGTGATAATCATAATTATTAACAGCTCTTTAAGAGATTTTTAATAAATTCAAAAGGCAATAGAGAAAAACACATTAAAGAAGAGGTTGTCACACATATGCTTGCTAAATATTCAGATTCTCAGATCCTAGCTGCAAGAACCTGCTCCAATAGGTCTGAGGTGTCTTAATGAATATACATTATTAGACCACCCCAGGCGATCTTGACGCACATGGTCCAAGGGCCACATACTGAAAAATGTAGCCTATGAATTACAAGGATTATCTTCTTGCTTATTCAACAAAATATATTGACTCTATGTTATGGCATTATTCTAGGCACCAGAACGATAAAGACAGAGAAAGAAAAGACATCATTAGAGAAGGTAGGTATTAATGGTGGTTCCTTTCTCAAACTTGTTTCTCCAATCATAGGCACCCTGAACACTGCTGCCTATCCAAACCTGCTCTATGTGAAATCTGGCTTCTTTGTGTGCAAAGGTGAGTCCAGAAAGGATTTGATAGTACGAATGGGAGTAATGAAATGGAAGACAAATTAAAAGGGAGAGAAGGTGAAAGAGGAGGAGGTGGGAGATGAGGAGGAGGAGCAGCAGGAGAGGGAGAAGAAAAGAAAGAAGAAAGAATAAGGAGAGAAAAGAATGGGTCTGAGAGATAGGAAGGAAGACAAATGTACAAAGTTGGAGATTGGATGTTGAGCAGGGCAATAAGCAAGAAAAGAGTCTGAGTTGGCATTTATATTTCTGGCTCAGGTTGGTAGATAGTAGAGCCATTCACTTAAACATGGAATACAGAAAAAATAGTAATTTGGAGGGAATCAAAATCGTTTAGTTTTGATATGTTGGACTTGTATGCTGCTTTTGGTACTTCAAAGTGAAGACATGTAGAAAGCAACTAGGTATACAGTTTTAGAGCTTTAAAGATGGAGGTTTGGGATGCACCAATGTTTCATGAAACAAAGGGAGTAAATGAAATCATACAAGAGAATAAAATCATACTATAGAAGAGAAGAGGAGGCTCAGAAAGATAGGAATTTGGTAGACATAAATAATTTAAGCAGTGATTCTTAAACTTTGTGTTCCATGAACTTTCTGAAAAATCAAATGATTCTAGAAATGTCAAATATCACAGACTTAAAAAAAGTTTCCAGAACCCCTTTGAGAACTTCCATAAATTTCAGATGTTTAAATTATAAAAGAGGAAGGGAAGCCCGTGAAAGACAGTGAGAAGGGGAGTCAAATAGTAAGAAAACCAGATTTCCAGATTTCCAACTCTTGGAAATTTGTTCTTCTGACCTAATGCAACACTAAATATAAGCCTTTCAAATTAGTAGCCTGCTATTCCTGTTTCTAAAATCAGGAAAGCAAGAATGCATATTTAGAAGTACATAATTTATTGAATTATCTTTTCTTATCAGTCCCTCAGAGTCAGCAATTGGATTCCTTCTCCATTCTGTTTTGGGTTTTCTTTCTTTGACTCATAGAAGCCATGGCTTCGTTAACTCAGGAAAGAGAGTTTCTTAGAGGATATCAACAACCCCTCAGTGGTATTCTCTTCCAGGTAATTATCAAATAGGTGTAGAGTAAGGACAGCATGTGTTTATGTTTCACTGGGATCCTGGCCTTTGATGTCACACTTACCCACAGAAGTGATGATGACTGTGAAATGAGTTTCATCTTGCCTTCCAGTTACGTTGTTGTAAGCACAGCACACATAGTCAGTTGTCTTCTGGGCTACTTGCTCGGATGCAACTTCCAAGAGAGGCCCATGCTTAATGACATATGTTGTGTTGTCAGTCCTTTGGATCCAGGAGTAGGTGTTAGGAGGGTAAGAATCAGCAGAACAATCAAACAAGATGGCTTCTCCAATGTCAACAGTAAACACTTCCCCTACTTTTAGTCCTTTATCAGAATTAACTCGAAGTCCATAAGGTCCATCTGCATTAGTTAAAAAAAAAAAGGATAACATAAATAATCATGACATAGTTTACAAGTTTGAGAGAGCTTAGCAGCATTTTTTTTTTCTGTGAAAGTCTTCAAGTTAAACTTGGGCAATATGTTCCCTGTTTAGACTCCCAATAAATGATAAGGACCTAAAATGTTTTATTCTGATATCCATGGAAATAGTAATTATTTGAGATGTGATTGACCTTATTTGAAATTGTGAAAGCCTTGAAACTTGGTATATTACAAATTTACAGACACTGTTGTCATAATCATGGTGCTAACCTTTGAGCAACATTGATAAATATGCAATCTTGATAGACAAATTCAATCTTTCTGAAACAGTAATTGCATTAGAAAGCAATTTAAAAGTAGATTATGGCCACTATTTTATCTTTGACAGTCATATTTTGAGTATTACGTGTGTGTTTTTCTAGTGCTAGGATATGTTATGCAAATATTTATAAAATACAGGTACATAGTTTCACATGGAACATAAATTTGTACAAATAAATAGAAGGGGTGTTCTATATGTGCATATTTTCATGACATTTTAACAGTTAACAAATTTTAAAAATACATCTTTTTTTGTTAATCCTCATCAGAGGATATTTTTCCCCATTGATTTTTTTTAGAGAGAGAATGGAAGGGAGGAAGTGGAGAGAGAAAGAGAGAAACATCGATGTGAGAGAGACACATTCATTGGTTGCCTCCTGAATGCACCCTGACCTAGGCAGACCAAACCTGCAACCCAAGTACACACACTTGACTGGGAATGGAACCTGCCACCCTTTGGTGCGTGGGCTGACACTTTAACCACTGAGCAATGTGGGCCAGGGCTAAAAATACATCTTCATTATCATTAACAAATATTCATTGATCATCAATAAACTACTTAATTATGGATAGACCATGGTGTTTTTCCTCACACTACAATATTCCTATAGGATTTTGCTATTTCTATGGCATCTGATTGCCTGCAGATGGAGACACATTTCCAATTGCTTTCTTCAGAGAATAAAGAGAGAGATTAAAAAAATATTCCCACCCTAGCCAGTTTGGTTCAGTGGATAGAGTGTTGGCTTGTGGACTGAAGGGTCCTGGATTTGATTCTGGTCAAGGGCTCGATCCCCAGTAGGGGGTGTGCAGGAGGCAGCAAATCAGTGATTCTCATCATTGGCGTTTCTATCTCTCTCTTCTCCCTTCTTCTCTGAAATCAATAAAAATATATTTTTAAAAATATTCCTTAGCGGGATAGGTTTTTATCATTCAATCTAAATCCTGGCTTATGTTCCAAAAACTTTAAAGTTCATGCATGATGGTGCTCATTTTTCAGTTGATCATATCCAACGTTTATTGGATGTTTGCCATCTGAAGGCACTTTACTTATGTAGATAACCACTTTTAATATTTAAGGCAGTCACATAAAGTAGATTATTGTTCTCCTTACAAGATGAAGAGATAATGTAAAAATTAATTTTGACTTGGTCACATACCTATTACATAGCATACCTAGGACTCTAAAATACATACATTTAATGTTTGTATTACCTCTCTAAAAACGTAAGTGATATAACTTCCACAACGGTTTCTTTTTGTCTAATTATAGTATTTGTTCTACAATAAATTACTATCGAATTAGATATTCTGTACTCAGCTAATCAAGTAATCAATCAACAAATTCTTGTTTAAGAGATACTAGGTGTTAGATAACATAGTATATAAGAGATAAAAAATGTCTTAAGACATAGTTCCTCTCAAAAAAATTATGGTTTGCTCAATAATAACCTAATCTTAAAGGTTCTGATTTCTTTTTAAAAAAGTACTAGCTATTTGATCTCTCATTATGTGAAATAATTTAAGACTAGATAGTAGGACAGAAAGGTAGATTAAATCCTGATTTTTATCAATGATTAGTTAAGTTTTCTTCAGAAGTAATTTAAACTTTTTGGGTCAAATTTTCCTCACCTTTACTATAAAAAGGTTGACTAGATGAATAGTTGTTAAAGTTCTTTTTACCTTTGATACATCATGATTCATGCTGTACTAAAGCTATTTTGCATACTGGCAAGCCAGCCTCAAATTTTCAGGTAGCCAAAATAGTTCTCTATTATGTGAGCATTTTCTGACCAACCTACTATTGGGGAAACCAATTTCCTTAAATACAACAGACGCGGAAGATGCAAAAAAATGAATTATATTTACTTAGGGAACATACACTTTACACATATTTGCTTCCTAAAGACACACAGACTTCTGAAAGAAACCTGTAGATTAATGTGTACATATGAGATGATCCTGCTTTCAGAAAGCAAACATTAAAGTTTGAAGTAACCAGGAGCTGGGCATGGAGCATTAAAGTGAAGAGAAATGAATGTCCCCTTCCTGTGACTGCTTTAGAACCCTGTGACATTGTCCCCTCATTTCAGGCTGTGATGTGGTCTTGGGAAAACCACTGTTATCTCAGGGCCAGTGCAGTGGCGGGGGCCCTTCAAGTAGTCATCATGGATAGAACATTAGGGAAGCCAAGACCATCTCCCGGTGGGCGCTTGTTGTGGTTCACATAGCAGAAACCCAGTGGGAGGCGACCACCGAGGTTTGGAACAACAAGGGACCCAAGTCTGTACACAAAACTGAAAGACAGAGCAGAGTAAGGCAGATAAAGAAGAGAAGTGTGGTCTTAAAAATACAGCCAGTTAGTTTAAGCCACTGCCTTCCACTGGTTTTCAGGGTTTCTAGACAGTGACTATAAAAACAAATGGCCTGATAATTTAACACACATAAAAATTAGGGGTATTTCGTTCAAAGTGTGCTGACATTACTCAAAGTTTTTTTTTTGGAAAACCTTCATTTTGGAATTGCCTTAGGACCTTGCAACATGATGGAATATTCTCCAAAATACTAATTCTTCCATTTTGGAGGGTGGGTTTGATTTGCAGAGAAAGCCCATAGTCATTTAGAGAGAAGGCTGGTGAATAAGATTGATTATCTAATTTAATACCATCACTCTAGTTTAGAACATGATTTTAAATAAAGGAATCTGATTATCTTACTTTATTTTCCCAACATTCATATCTATTTTGATTTTGCTACTTCCCCATTTGTTGAGTTTCATTGTTTGACATAATCTTTTTGTCCTCTGTCTGTCTTAGTTATATGTTAGCTGGCTCTTCACAGTTAGCCTCAAAAACCCCAAATTCTCTACCCCGCCCCTGAGCATTTCCTATAGTTCTTAGAACATAAAACCAGAGCATTTTGGTTGCTTGTTTCTGATATTATTTCTTTTCTTTTTTTTTGTTCTTTTTTAAATTTGTTTTGTTTCTTTTTTTCTTCATTTTTGTTTTTTGTTTCTTTTCTTTTTTTTACTTCTGATATTATTTCTTAAAGTGTAACCTATTAAATTGATTATATAAAAAATACATGTTCATTGCAGAAAATCCTAATATTCAGAGAAGCGCAAAGATGAAAACTTATTTGTAATTTCAACACTCAGAGAACGAATATCCATATTTCACTGTATAATCTTCTAGTCCAGCCATTCTCAACCTGTGGGTTGCGACCCCTTTGGGGGTCGAACGACCCTTTCACAGGGGTCGCCTAAATACATCCTGCATATCAGATATTTACATTATGATTCATAACAGTAGCAAACTTACAGTTATGAAGTAGCAACGAAAATAATTTTATGGTTGGGGGTCACCACAACATGAGGAACTGTATTAAAGGGTCGCGGCACTAGGAAGGTTGAGAACCACTGTTAGTCTTTCTTCTTTCCTCTCTCCCTCCCCTATAGATCTTACCCATTATTCTTTTACACTCTACACACTGCTTATAATCAATCTATTTTCTTCTTAATGAACTATGATGTTATTTCTTTTTTCATTATCACTTCAGGCTGACCATCCCTTTACTTTGAGGTGCAACCTAGTACATTATTCATGGGAATGAGCAATCCAATGAAAGACATTTGGAGTGATTCAACCAATATTCGACCAGTGCAGCCTCTGACGTTGAAGATGAAAGCAGAAAGATAATTCTGTTTTGACTTTGGATTGTGGTTCATTTCCTTGCCTTTGGCAGAGAACTACCAATAGAAATGAAACCTTTGCTTCAGGAAGGGCTGTTTACTAAATGACTTGTAAAATCACATATCATCTGTTCTCTTTAACAATTTATGGCTGGGTGGCAACAGTACCTAAGTTTTCATCATGATGCTGCTTGCCACCCTGCTTGGAAGCAGATGGTAAGTATTTACTGTGAATGACCTTTTTTTTCCCCCTTTAATTTTTATCACTTAGAGTACTTCCCTGCAGCGGTGCCATATGCTACACACAAAAGGCAGTGGTTACTGGGTTATTATTTACAAGAGCTGGAAGGCACATACATTTCATGAACTTCAAGTAGATATTTGTCTGAATTATTGGCTTGACATTGTATTCCACCAGGATCAATACCAGATTGTGACATCATATCCTCAAAAATATATGGTCAATCTTGATAAATTTTGTTACACATTTTTTTCTGCCAGAATAAAAAATAATTTCTGCTTTCATGAAAGAAGCTGTTATAGAAACAGTGCCTTAAGAAAACAGATTAGGTAATTCATGCTGAAATTCTAAATTGTGGTGTGAACTTCTATGGGGGAATATTGGAATATGACATTTACTAGATTATTGAGGAACTCTGCTAAAGGTCAGAAAAAAACAACAATGAAGGGCACACGCACTTGAAGAAGCTGTTATCTTGTAATGGGAATTCAGTCTTTCTACAGCGTCATTAAGTAGCACGAGAATCTGAGAGGGATATGAAGAAAGATAATCTGTTCCATTCTAGTCAAATTCAAGAAACTTCGAGTGAGTTCTTAATCTGTGCAAATCATTTCCCTGGGGGTACAAAGTTGAATAATGTCTGGGTATGGAGCACTGATGAAGGTAAGAGACTCAGGAAAATATAATTCAATGACTACCAGAGGGTATATGTGCATAGGGTACTGCAGGAGCACAGCGAACCTCCTAGCAGCATAGAAGAGGTGAGACAGAGTGGGGGCAGGTGAGCCCTTTCTAGAGAAGATGTGAAGAAAGAGGATGTAACCAGGAGCACGTAAGCAGGTGAAGAAAGAGAAGAAGGTACAACATCAACTAAGGCAAGTATTCTCAGTTTGCATGGAATGATAAATATTGCAGACATGTTGATGCCACATCAATGGAAAGGATAAATGACAAATCTTCAGATTATATATTTAATTTAATCCTTATAACCCCAAACCAAGAAAAGAAAACAACAACAATAAAATAGGGCTAAAGAGTGATAGCAAGAAAAATTAATAAAATAACTCTGGGTAGTGTTTCCAGTATATGTTACGTATATGCTACACATGTTGCATGTTTCTATGAGTAATAATTGCTTAGAATAAACAAGACGATGATTTGATTTTTGAATCAAAATATGAGAGAATGAGTGAATAAATGAATGAGGGAATAAATGAATGAGTGAGTGAATATCATTAAGTGGTGTTGAGTAAGTGAAGGCTTTTGCATTTGAATGAGAAAATACTCAAGAAAATTAATTATAATACTATATTTATAATTACCTCTTAAGAGTAAAAAATCTGCCCTAACTGGTTTGGCTCAGTGGATAGAGCATCAGCCTGCAGACTGAAGGGTCCCAGGTGTGATTCCAGTCAAGGGCATGTACCTTGGTTGTGGGCACACCCTCAGTGGGAGGTGTGCAGGAGGCAGCTGATCGATGTTTCTCTCTCATCGATGTTTCTAACTCTCTATCCCTCTCCCTTCCTCTCTATAAAAAAATCAATAAAATATATATTTTTTTAAAAGTAAAAAATCTTAAATAATGCAGGTTTTCATCTTTACAATATATAAATAGAACCTACATTTGTAAATTTTCTCAATGTTCTTCTTTCTACTGTCATTAGTCTATACTCAGGACAGATATTTCTCTGTGAGATGTCCATAGATTACATCTAAAAGAATGTGAAGAAGAAAGTTCAGTCTATAAAAGAAGATATATTTGAAAATTTGACTTTATTCAAATTGTGATATTTTAATTCTTTCAAATAACAAAGGAAAGGAAAGAAGGTATAGCATTTAAAGTATAGTATCTAACATTTACAGGTGTGATTAATGGGTTTTCTCCCCATTTTTATGCTTTCCACACTATGTATCATCATATTCTGTGATAATGACATTGGGGCATAAACTTGAACATATTGAAAGGAAAATCTTACTTTCCCTTTTCCAGATTAAAATACACAATATATCAAAATAAAAGAGTAAAAATACAATGACACTTTAATGTGCCTAATTATTTATGCAGTTTCCTCCAGGAATATTTTATTTAACTTTGTGGCCAAGGTTTAAAGATAGACAGATAAATGAGAGAAAAATGTAAGAAATAATTAATGCAAAGAAAATATTTTTATATAGAAAAACAAAATATGTTAATTTAGAAAATGGTAATGTTTAGGGAAGAAAACATTTCTCCTAAAGGTATTCTTTCGGTTTTTTCTTTGCAGGTGTTTTCTAAATTACCCAGGCTTTCCATAACTTCTTGCTGCCATGTTGCCAATTATGTCCACATAATTGTGTCTCAAAGGGAAAAAAAGAACTAACATTATTGAGTTCTTCCTAGGTGCCTCTCGCTGACTTCTTTATACATAAAATTTCACTTAATCCTCCATCCCTCTTACATTGGGGAGAGTGTAGATAAGGAGATGAGGAAACTGGTGCACAGAAAGGGACAGAACCAGGTCTTTAACCCAGGCGGTCTGAATTCACAGCTGAGGCCCAAAACCACTGTACTATCCACTGACTCTCCAAATGGCGTGATGGTAATTAGAGCATGTGATCAAAACAAATCATGATCAGGTTTCCTATGGTTAACAGGGAATGCTCCAACAGGATCTCACTTCCTGTTGTCTGTCACTGCACTGAATGATGATGGTTCCTTGGGATTGATATTCAGTAGATAAAATCTGGTTGGTTTAATATCTTATATTGCATTTTGTACCTTTTCTATGTGAATGCAAACCATTTAGACCAAACAATAAAGAACAATGTAAGCATGTGTTTACCTAGCCCTAGATTTGATTCAGTTTGCTCACATTCCTTACTTCTCTTAAGTAACTTGAAGCTTAGGTCTGTAGTACTTGAAGTTGAATGGCAGTTTTAATTCATATCAGAATAGCCTTATTCAGTCAAGAATGTGACCACCTAGTAAATAGACAGTACCAAAAAAATAGACGGTACCAAATTTTTCACTCCAATTCAATGCTAGTTGTGCATATTATAGTCACAGTTTATATTTTCTCTATGAATCTATTTCTTAGCACACAGTTTTTTCACAATGTTATCAGAATATAAGTTTATGTAAAACTAAAAATAAAGCTAAAAGTTCAGCTATACAGTAAAAATAGTACCATTGTTATTGATATTATCACAACTAATGATTGAAACTAATCATATAATTTGCTTGCAGTGAGTGGTGTTTTGGTATTTCGCTGTGAAAAACTGTAATTTCTGTCTTTGGCACTCTTTAATAATAAAATTTCTTCTGTTTTTGATAGAAGGAACTGGCTCATCGTTAAACTCACTGAATTCTGAGTTTACCAGGCTTAATTCTACCCTTATGATTCCACCAGCTGAACCCTCCATCCTCAGGCCACAGGGGTGAGAAGTCTTCCTTGGCTCACTGTTCCCGTTCACGCTGCTGTTCTAGCTGTGCTCTGAGCTATATGGTATCTGATAAGAAGACTTCCAGGGCCCTGACCAGTTTTGCTCAGTGGCTAGAGCGTCAGCCTGTGGACTGAAGAGTCCCAGGTTCGATTCCGGTCAAGGGCATGTACCTTAGTTGCGGGCACATCTCCCGTAGGGGGTGTGCAGGAGGCAGCTGATGGATGTTTCTCTCTCATGGATGTTTCTAACTCTGTATCCCTCTCCCTTCCTCACTGTAAAAAATCAATTAAAAAAAATACTTTTTTTTTTTTTAAAAAAAAGACTTCCCGGTGGGATAGGCCATTGGTTTTCAACTAGGGGAGATTTTCCCCCCTCTCTCACTCTAGGGAACATACCACAATGTCCAGAGATATTTTTAGTTGTCCCAACTGGAGGGTGTTGCTACTGGTATGTAGTTGGTAGAAGTCAGGGATGCTGTTAAACATCCTATAAACATCTCATAACAATGAAGTTGTTCAGCCCAAAATGTCACTGGTGTGGAGGTTGAGAAGCTCTGTGCAAAGCTAACATTACCATGTGATATTAAACATGCTAGAGCACCTGGAGTAGAGAGGACTGGGTTTAAAATATAATAAAGAGAGGAATCGTGTTTGGGTTGGTGATGATGTTATGACATGAACTGAAGAGTTTGATTAACTTAACTCTGTACATGAGATTAAACAACAACAGAAACAAAAAGGACCAAAGAAAATTGAAATCTGAACTAATTGCTGTTCCCCAGGAAACTGAATACCTTACTAAGGAATAACTGTCTTCTCTATGATCCTCCCAATGCCCTGACTCTCAGCATGGAGCTGAGGAAATGAGGGGCCGGGGGTGGGATGCAGAGCACATCTCTCTCCTAGTTTAAGATGACCAACCTATTCTCCTTGGGGATGAATCACTTAGTGCCTTCCGCATAGTTCTGGGTTCTTGAAATTGAGGTTCCTACTTCCCACTGGAAATAAGGTCACACAATGCACTAAGTCACAAAATGTATCCGGAAAGGCCCTTGGCCAGTATCTCAACTTGAACTTCAAGAAATAGGGTTGTGCAAGCAAATGTATTTCATGATAAGACAGTGCCTAGGAAGTGTGATTATAGCTGCACTATAAAAATCAAATGGCATTTGGTATTGATAGTCTCTGACCACCCTTGTGACAACTTCCCAGAAGAAAAGTTTTGATTTTGTTTTAAACTTACAATATATGGTGGGCATAATGGTGTCACTTTCCATCTCACTGACAGGATTCTTCACCAGGCAACTGTAATTCCCAATGTCTTCTTTGGTCACTGGAGCAATATGAAGAATGTTGTTTTGGGGAGAAAAGGAGTTGGTGGAGCTGGTATGGACAGGTCTCCCATTTTTTAGCCACTGGTAAGCCAACCGGGTACCTTCTTCCACCAGGCATGTCAGTGTCATGTTCCCTACATACTCCACAGCCCCAGAGGAAGGCTGAATCTGTACCAGGGGTTTTGTGACAAGGTCTGCAATATCAAAGAGAGAAATGATTTTTACCACCATGACATTTTAACAAAAATCTATGAGGTCTCTCACATATTAAATCTCGGGGAAATGATTCTACAGTTTTACACTTTGTAAATGTAAACAGTTCAGGCGATAATTCAGGAAGAGACTTAAAAATTCAAAACAATAAAATATAAAAATATAATTCATAGCAGATAAATAATCACATTCTGGGACTGACTTGTCAAGGATTTCCTAATGAGAACCTTCATAGCCAATGGAAGTTAGTGGTGGAGAACACCAGGGGCCCTCTTTCCTGTTTTGTGCTTGCTGACTATGTGAAGATACACTCTCACGGACAAAACATGCTTAACACTCTCTCCTGACTTTTGCCCTAAATCCCAAGGGCAGCTGGGGAGATGGATGTGGTGAATCCGAATTTCTACTATTTGCATAATATAAAGCTCATATATATTATACTTGTGGGGAATTGAGGGAAAGTTTTAGAAAATCATGTATGTACCCATTACTTTTCCTTTTATGTAAGCGAACTAATTGTATGTTTTAGTTGCTGTGCATTTGGTTTTGCAACATTACATTTGTCACTCTAACAAAGCAGTACCTACATTTCAAAACTGACTCAATCTGAAAATAGGATACTGGGATTATATCAAATTAGGGATGTAAAAGACAAAATCTCAGTAGAGATTCCTATTGGAACTTTGAGATATAGGAAAACAGTTTTATGTCATGAGCCCAATACATTGTAGTAATGAGATATCTGACAAATGAGTAAATTTCTAAGAATGAGTATATATTTATTTTTTAAAAAATATATTTTTATTGATTTCAGAGAGAAAGGGGAGAGGGAGGGAGGGAGAGAGAGAGAGAGAGAGAGAGAGAGAGAGAGAGAGAGAGAGAGAGAGAGAGAGAGAGAGAGAGAGAGAGAGAGAGAGAGAGAGAGAGAGAGAGAGAGAGAGAGAGAGAGAGAGAGAGAGACCAATGATGAGGGAGAATCATTGATCTGGTGCCTCCTGCATGCCCCTCAATGGTGATTGAGCTCACAACCTGGGCATGTGCCCTGACCAGGGATCGAATGGCGACCTCCTGGTTCATGCTCAACCATTGAGCCACACTGGCTGGGCTGAATGAGTATATATTTCTTCTCTGAGTTTTAACTCTAAAATTGTTGGATAAGGGTGGAAATTACATCAATATCTACAATCATTTTTAGCAACCTTCATTAATTTTTGAGGTGCTTGACTTGGTTTGATAAAGGATGGTGACTAGCCCAGAGTTACATAGCAGTCAGTGCCTAATGAAGAGGGCTTGAAATCTGACAGTATTTCTCTGCAGCATTTTGGAGAGATAGGGGTTTAATAATCTCCTGTGTATGACTACAGGACACAGAGAGAGTGAGATGATATAGAAGTGACAGATGATTGACTCCAACATTAAGATTTCAATTTCCTATCAAGCTTTTAACCAGGTTGATGTATCTTAAGTAAATCTGCCTCGACTCATACAATTTCCTACACTGGAAAATGCTTATTACGGAACAAACAAATTCAAGCCTTCAGTCCAGAGGAGATAGGAAAATATGAAAGATAAGGAGAAGGGGAGTTGAAAGGGCAGCCTGCAGGGCAACTGAGGAGTTCCGTAGTCTCCAGCCTTTCTCAAGATGGGTAAAATCAACTGGCTTGTCCCTTTAATTTAATCCTTTATCTTTTCTGGCAAGAACAAAGGATTTGGAATAGCTTTGTTTGCATTATTATGATTAGAAAAGAAAAATTAATTGTGTACACTTATTGCATTAAAAAGTGCATGTTTCATATATGTCTGTGTGGAAATATACATCTTATGAGATAAGTCAAATAGATAACATGTCAAAGATCTCATATGGAGAGAATCAATCATTAGAATAGACATTATTATTGTAATCACATATTTGCCTAAATAGTGTAACTCAGATGTGGAAATCTCCTGAGAATACTTTTTGCGTAGGTCCCTAAACCCTTATTAAGGCTTTTTGGTTGCATTTCTCTAAACAGATCCAATTTTACTACACATTAACAAGTAATGAATGCTCTACTAAAAGTTTTGGGGATAGATAGGATACCACACAGAATTTCATGAAAAATTTCCTTTAGATTTTTCTCCCTTTTGTTCCCCAAATTTACTCTCTAGGCATCTGCTTCCACAACCTGTGTATTTGCTGCCCCGCAAATTTGGTCTCCACTCATTTACTCCACAAATAGACACTGAGTACCTACTAATGGGCAGCAACAGGTTTAGGCACTGAGGACAAAGCAGAAAATAATACAAAGTCCCTGCTCCCATGTTCCTTATATTCTATGAGGGGAAGATAAACACTAAGTTAGTAAAAATATATAATAGGTTGAGTGGAAATAAGTGCCTTGAAAGGCCTCTCTCTCTCTCTCTCTCTCTCTCTCTCTCTCTCTCTCTCTCTCTCTCCTGTTTTGGCTGAGACCTAAAGGAAATAGGAAAGAGAATCATACTATTATCTAGGAGAAAAGCAGTCCAGGTAGAGGGAACAGCAAGTACAAAGGTCCTGTTCTTGGGAGAACAAATTGACCGGTGTAGCCACAGCAGACTGGGAAAGTGAGGTAGGGAATGGAATCACATAGCTATTGGCTATGATGGGGAAATCAAGGTGGACCTTGTAGGCCATTGTTAGTACTTTAACTTTTATTCTGAGTGAGATAGAAGGATGTGGGAGGATGTTAAGCTACAGGAGGCAGGAGTAGAAACGGAGGCTAGGTATCAGGCTACTAGGGTAGTCTAGGGCCTAGGCAGAGCTGTTGGTGGGGTGGAGTGGGGCAGTAGTGGGGGTGGTGAGAAGTGATGGAAATCTCTGTATATTTTGAAGGTGAAACTAACAGGATTAACTCATGGGCTGGATGTGGGACATGAGAAAAAGGGTGGGGGAAGTCAATGGTAATGGCAAGGTTTTGCCTTAAGCAATTGATGGAATGGAGTTGGTACTTATGAAAATTTAGGAGAAATATTGTCAAAAAATGGGTTTAGAGGGGAAAATGAGAAGTTGGCCTTTGGGCATAGTATAGTTAAGGTATGCCATTTACATACCTCACTAAGGAAAACAACTGTCTGATCGTTAGCTGACCCCACTCTCCCTCAGAAGACATTTCCCACAACGTCCATTGTTTCTTCAATCTGGTCCTTGAACAGGTCTCATCCGCCCCCACCCAGTGTGTCAAAATAAAAACCTCCATGTGCCCTGACTGGTTTGGCTGAGTGCATAGAGCATCGGCCTGCGGACTGAAGGGTCCCGGGTTCGATTCCGGTCAAGGGCATGTACCTTGGTTGCGGGCACATCCCCAGTAGGGGATGTGCAGGAGGCAGCTGATCAATGTTTCTCTCTCATCGATGTTTCTAACTCTCTGTCCCTCTCCCTTCCTCTCTGTAAAAAATCAATAAAATATATTTTTAAAAAACAAACACCTCCATGTGACAAAATTAGAGATCTTCCCAGGGTGCATTCTGCACTGAGAAAATAAAATTTTCTTGATCTCATTACTTTATACTTGATAGTTTCTAGGCAAACAAAAAAGTTCTACTATTGCTTGATTACCTTTAGCTGGGCACTGAATATCCTTCACATTCCTCTCTGATTTAATCTTCAGAAAACCTCATGAGGTAGATAATGCCATTCACGCTGTGAGGCTTTGTGGGTTAATTAATTTGCCCAAAATTGGAGAGCCAGTACCTAAAGCCCAGGTAGTCTAATCTGAGTCATGGCTAACTGCCATGCTTCCCAGCTGCCCATAGCATTTATAGTGGACTCACCATCAACAGTGACTTGTATCTTCTGACTAGCTGAGAGAGTTCCATTTCCTTGAATGTTGACCTTCACAATGTAATTGCCTTCATCGGTGAACTGCAGTGGGTTGATGAGCAGAGATGCATTGGGTGGCATCATGGTGAACTTGTGTTGGTATTCCAAGTCGGGAACCACAGACTTGTTCACAGAGCCCAGTAAGTATTTGGGCATCGTGTGGTGTCTCTCAAACAGCCATATGATCTGGATGTCTGATGCCGGAGTGTGGAATCCATAGTGCACAGGGAGGTAGAGGGCCTGACCCCTGATACCATGGACAGTGTATGATGGCACCACCACCTTCAGCCCCGAGCAAGCGCCTGTAACAAAGGAGAGGAAAGCAGTAAAGACTCTGAGCCACATTTCGCAATCTAAAGAGGCAGTGCAGAGAGAACCAGATTAGTTGATAATTTCTTTCAAAGAAGAGCAGCTTCTAGCCACTGACCATTCTGGTACCGGTTTCCTGGAGAGGTAAATATTTGTCTCTGAAATCTTCTGCATTTGAAAAACTCCACCCCAAAACTGTGTTGATTACATGACTTCTTTACGGAAAAGCAGAAGTTACTATCTATGACTGTTAAAGAATAATGGAAAAAGGAGAACTGGGTAAGATTATTAGTTCTAAAGTCCATGAAACTTTAAAAAAATTTAAAATTGTGACTATATTAATGTCTGAGTCATAGATCCTAATCAAACTATGTGATTCGAGAAACTACTTCCTCCCAAAAATCTTCCTCCAAAGTGTTCTAAAATGGCTTCGTAGTCCATTATTGGAAGTTTTTCCTTTTAGCCAAAGCCTTGCCAGATGCAAATACCCGAAGGAGAGTGACATTAAATCATTATCAGTCATGATGAGTTATTCTTGCCCAGAGGCAGGAATCTGGCTGGTGTGCTTGAGAAACAGCAAGAGGCAGGAGTAGATGGAGCACGGAGGAGGAGGAGGAGGAGGAGGAGGTCGAGGAGGAGGAGCGGCGTGTGGTAAAACATGAGGTCAGCAAAGTGGTCAAGGCCAGATCAGGCCAAGTTTTAGGGTCATGGAAAACACTTAGGCAATTATTCTCTGAGATAGGGGTGCAACTAGAATTTTGTGAACAGAGAGAGAGATTTTGTCTTTGGTTTTGGGCGCATTTCAGCTGCTGTGAGAATAGACAGGCGTGGGCAAGAGAAGGAGTAGGAGACCACTTAGGAGGTGATTACAGTAAAGTAGGCAAGAGATGGTTGTGCTGTAGACCAGGGTAATAGTAAAAGATACTGTGATAAAAGGCTGGTGGTGCTAATTTGATGACACATTGGGGGTGGGATATAAGAAACCAAGAAGATTCAAGAATGACTCCAAGGTTGTTGACCTGATCAATTGGAAGACTGGAGTTGTTTATTAATGGACAAGTACTAAGGTTATCATGGGAAGACTGTGAGGGGAACAACTTTTCTAGGGGAAGATCAGGGTTCAGTTTTGGACATGTTCATTTTAGATGCCCATTAGACATCCAAGAGGGAATACTGAAAGGCTATACTAGGCATGAAGGCTGGATTAAAGTGGGTTTAAGAGGGAAGGATGGCCCTGGAAGACTTTGAGGGCATGGAGCTCTGCCAAGTGCATAGCTCTGGCTCCTGCCCTATTTGCCTGGGTTGTTTGGCCCATGTACTTCTATGTCTGCAGGTTTCTTTCTACTTTGGGGTAGTTAGAGATTTCCCCATCTTTACCTTGTGCCATGATGCACTGTTTTATTTAGCATTTCTATGTATTTGCAATTGAGAAGAGAGTCTTCCTTAGTTTAGGCTACCATGTCGCTGAGGTCTTAATTAAAATCTCTTTGGTTCAAAATCTTCATTTTTAAAAGTAGCAATACGGCACATTTGAAATAGTGAAGGAGGGAATGGAGGAACTTAAATGTGAAGTATTTTGAACAGTAAGAGAAAAAAAGGAAAGGAAATTGGAGACAGTGAGTAAAGACAATACTTCTGGGGAGCTTTGCCGTGAAGGGGAGCAGAAAAACTTTTCTTCTATTTTTCTTAGGATGGACGCTGAACAGCATCTTTGTAGCTATTGGAATGATGCACTAGAAAGAGAAATCTTGATGAAGCAGAATACATATGGGTAATGATGGAATAAAATCTGAGGTGAGAAGAGATGGGAATTTGGGCACAAATAAGTATCTTACAATTGCTATTGAAAAGAGTTTGTCCAGTTGGTGTTAGCACAGCCAAACACTAAACACTGAGAAAGAAGATTGCCTAGTTGATTATGAATGGCACCATGCAGAACAGGAAGTTAATGCTCAAAAACTGGAACTCCCCAATGGAATATAGGTTACAGATTATACAGGGCAGGAATCACAAGACACTGTGGGTTAGAGGTTCAGGGTGGTATTGGGAGCTGATGGATAATAAATCATTTCTTCAGATCTTGAGGACAGTTCTGAGGTCTGCTCTGGAATCTCTCTGTCTGGTTTTATGGAAAAGGAGCCGGGGAGGGGGGGGAGTAGGTGGGGGAGCGGGGGTTGTTCCACCTTAAGGCTCAGGAACTGAAACATAATTTAGGTCAAGATATTATCTTTAGCTTAACATACTTTGTGACCCTGGCCATTGTTTTTGGCTGCCTCAGGCGGGTAGTGACTTGTAAGGGAAAGGGTTAAGGTTTACAGGGCATCCTTTGAAGAAACTGCATAGTGCTGGGCTACCTGTTAATTCGAAATTATACATTAAATCAGGTTTCACAATTTTAATTTCCTTATATACAAAATGTTTATCATCTTTGATTGCTTCCCCTTTTCATCCCTACTAGGAAGGGGATCTTAAAAGCTTTCTCTGAGTCTTGTTATGAAAAGCCATCAATATTAGGAAGGGAAGGTATAAAGGTCAGTTACACAATGAGTTCTTTGGAGAAAGTGGAAGATGTAGGCCTGCTCCTAGGAGGTATCAAGCTCTACCAACAGTAAATTTCTCTTTACCTCCCAGGGTACAGGTGGGGGCAAAGATTTCCATGGTTTTGGTCTTTGGCCAGCTAGTAGCAGAAAGTAAGACCCTGGGGCATGCAGGGAGGTTAGAGCAAAGAACTCAGGAGGAGAAAGAGGAAGATCAGAGGAGGTTACTGGGAGAAGGAACTCCTAGGTGCTCAATTGAAACTGACCATAGGGACTGAAAGTTAGGTGACTCTATGGGAAAAATAAACATGGGTCTTACAGTCTCCTTGGGCTCTGTGTATATTTGTGGTTGACTTGTAAATTTTTTTTCCCTCATAATGGGCTGTACCTGCACATTTGTTTTAGTGCTTTGGTCCATAACAAAAGGGTTACAAAGGTATGAGGATTTGCTTCTGTTTTCTTTTCTGGAAAGTGCAAGAATGTTAAATTTGTAGTTCCCAATTTGAATCATTAGGAAAAGAAGGAACTGGTAGCTGGAAATTCTGAAGAGGAGGCAAAGTGGATTGCAGGAAAGGAGTAATGGTTTCTGCAAGGAAATCATAAGAGAGGAAAAGGAAGACAGAGTAAATCTAAGACTTGAAACCAGTGATTCCTGAGCTATGTGAAGCAGAGGCTGACAGAGAGGAACAAAGCTCTTGAAGTCAATGTCCCCCAGGAATTTGGATGGGGGACAGTACAGGAAAAAATTCACTTTGGTGCCCAGCTGGCGTGGCTCGGTGGTTTAGCATCGACCTTTGAACCAGGAGATCACAGTTTGAGTCCCTGTCAGGGCACATACCCGGGTTGCAGGCTCAATCCCAGTAGGGGGTGTGCAAGAGATAGCCATCAATGATCCTCTCTCATCATTGATGTTTCTATCTTTCTCTCCCTCTCCCTTCCTCTCTGAAATCAATAAAAATATTTTAAAAAATCACTTTGGTGTATGTGTCATCTGCACAAAACAACATGCGTTTACATGCCTTCCATTGAAATTGGTGAGAGGAAGCTCCTGGTAAGCAATAAACAATAAATAAAAACTAGCTTTTTAGTAGCCATTATTGTTACCTAAGGTAAGATGCAATTCCCACCATTTTTATTGGGTGTTTCTGTCTTCCGTTTTGCTGGAGTGCACATAAAAATATTTATGGTTTTATCATTCACTCCTCATCTTAGACTTCCTTATCCCACTTTCACCATGTAGCCCTAAATCCATCACCTGCTAATTGCCTTGATATAAGGTATTTCAGGAACCTATTCTCTAAATTTGGAGAGAGATTACTGTATTTGATACTTTGATAAAATTAAAAATCCACTGAATGTGAGGTCTTAGTAAAGGACACACACTTGGGATAAAAATGAGGATTTGTCAGTGGAATGACTTTAATAAATCTTTTTTATTCTCGACTTCAGGTTTCTCCTGTGCAAAAAGGGGGTAGTATTAGATGAAGCCTAAGGCTTCTCTTACTCTTGTTTATGTTACTGACAGTCTGAGGTGCTTTTCTCGGGGTAGCAGGTACCCTACATTTGAAGGTGAAGGTCTGTATTTAATTTCGCAGGGGCACCAAGTATTTTGAAGTATTGAGTCTCAGGTGTTAGTCCACTTACTACATTGCCAATCCCTGGATATACTTTAATAAAGTGGTGATTCTGTGTTTATTACCAAGGAATCAAGGGGAATGGTGGTAACCCACATCATTGCCTTCAGAATGCACTGGGAAGGCTGCGCAGCCACCAACATAAAACTCAGTAGTTGCCTCTGTTAGTGAGCAGTTTGGTTATTGATATGTTGGTCCCTTTAATACATTTCACAGCTCAGCCTAGAAACCAGTGTCATACTGAAATGTAGACCTAAATGGCTTGAATGCAATCTGGCTAGTCTGGTCTTGTCGTTTGGGGAAGTCATTGCAAAAGTCGTTGTTCCCTTTTTCTGAAAAGGATAAGAAAGCCTTCCTTATCTACGTGTGTGTGTGTGTGTGTGTGTGTGTGTGTGTGTGTGTGTGTGTGTGTGGTTGAAGTTGGAAACGATTAACTGAGGTTGTAATATTCTGAAAATGTTTGGGCAACACTTTATAGGCAGCTGGACTAGAACAGAAAGGTTGGTGAATTTTGGATCCTGTACCAGAAACTTGAATTTTAAGTATCAAAAGACTGATTAGAGAGTCTGTGACTAGAGTTAGGGGGAGCAAATCCTGTTTAATAAAATATTAAATATGAATATTGCAGCCCAGGTAAAAATGAAACTATATTAGCAGAAAATCATTTATATGGCACTTATTTTTTTATATTAAATAAATTATATGGACAATATTGTTTAAGGAGGGTGGCCTAGTTCTTTGGACCATTTTAGAAACTGCATCACATAATAATACCTTAAATAATCTACTGTCATTAATATGTGTGCATATATTCTATGCTTATCACATCAAATGATATGAAGTCATGTCATTTGAGTTTTTTCCAAGTTTATGTATGACAGTGAGAGAAAGCACAGCTGTGACAATAGCTGTTTCCTTAGGTTGCCCACCCCATTTTTTACCAGATAAATTATATTTAAGAAGTTTTAAGAGTGTCATCAAGGGACACAATTTTCTTTATTTCAGTTATCTAAAATATTTTCATTTTGCAGGAAAGACATGAACCTATTGATACGAGGCAACCCTTACTTGTGAACTTTGGGAAATAAACAAATAATTGAATGCTTCCCCTGCATTTTAGGACTACATACTCCCTTGCCATTGATGTATTTCCCACTACAGATGTGATGAATTCATGCTGTCAGTTAGCAGTATATTAACTTTAAAAAAATTAGCTTCGTTTCTGAGTATTTTTCAAGTGTTCTTTTCTAGTTGTATGAGAAAACCTAACAAACTAAAACTATTGATTTTAGAGAAAGTCAACCTTTGTGTGAACAAATAAACTTCAAAAAACTGAATGACATAAAATTGATGAAATTTTAATTTGCTTTTGATATTCCAAATATCTTGACTTAAAATTCATTTTATTATTAGATTAACTAATACTTTTTGAGTATAGAAAAGGAAAACTCATACTTTTTGCATATAGGGTATAGTAAATTGGAGAAACATTGCTAATACCATTAGTAATCTGAAATAAAAATTATAGCAATAATTTCCCCAGTAGAGACTCCTTTAAATAGTGCAGTACTAGAATGTACAGTGTTAAGGAACACCTCAAGTCATTGTAAAATTTATCTATATTCCAGAAACAAAAGACTCCCTAGGCCAGTTTCACTGTGTTGAATATAAACATCAAACTTTCACAAAGTGACCTCTAGCTGTAGCTCAAAATAGTTGGCATTTACTTCCCCATTATCATGTATGATATTAGCAAGCATAACACAATTATTGTTGACTGAAAATAAACTTCTGCGTATTTAGAGAAAATAGGAATTATAAAGTTTTACTTTGAGTAGACTTTACAAACTACATTTTGGGCTTCCAATTTTTAAGGTTTGTTTTTTTTGTTGTTGTTGTTTTAAAGGAAAACAAACAGATAATTCAGTATTCCAAAAACAGAGTCCCACATAACATATGGTCTTTACAACATACTACTAATGGAAAAAAGTAAATTTGTGTAAGAAAGTCTTACGGGATAATAACTGCTATAACTACCTATGAACTTGCTACTTCTCTAAAGTATATCTTAATTTATTTTAGTTGAATTCCTCAAGTGAAATGTCACCAAGTTCTTCTGCAAGCCACTAACAAAAGCATTAGTTGTAAAATGACCACAGTCCCGTTGTTGTAAAATTAAAAATAAGTGGGGCACTGACACACAGGATACTTTCAAATCACACAAAAATGCACAAAGATAAAAAGCCAGTTATGTCAACTGTTTGATTTTTTAAAATTAAAAAAGCTAAAAATCAATATAGGTTTGAATTAGAAACATACACACCCAGAAAAGTCACAACTAAGGAAAACTCAAACACTTAAAAAAATTTACAAACTGTATATTTCAAGTATGTGGGATATATACATCATTAGGTACAAGTTTGAATAACAATATTATTTACAATGAAAACTATAATGAAATATACCAGTGAAAACAAGACTCTGAACAATTGAAGAAGGCTAAAACTTAAATTGCTCATTTAGCTAAATTGTTCTTAACATAAAAGAAATAACCATCTTTTTAAAAATTCCTATCTGTTGAATGTAAACAAGGAACTAACCTTGACTTCTACAACTGATAAATAGGAAGAATGAAAAAGAGAACATCTTATGAAAATAATAATGACGAACAGTGGGAATTTTGGTGAAAGATTCTTTTAAACTCTAAGGATAAAGAAATTGAGGAAAAATAATTCAGGTACAGAAAAAAAAATTAATAGGAATATCCACTGGGCAAAAAGAAAGGTTCAAGGCCTTTTGGAAAAATAATACTATTTAAAAAACACTTCTCCGTACTGCATATAAAGTATTTTTTGTCAGTTTGGAACCTTATCTTTTTCCATATTTCATAAGATAGGTAATTTAAAATGAAGTAAAGCTAATGGTTTGACACATTATCTAAATAAGAACAGCAAAAAATAAATCATCATAAATTGTTTTTGAGTTTCACTATAAGCAGTCACAAATTCATGGCCTATAAGAGTATTTGCCAAAATGAAATGTATATGTAAACTCTCTAAAAGAAAAAGAAATTCATTAGGTTTTTAGAATGTCTTAACTTTCTTAATGAGTGCTAGTGACAATAAGTATTGTTCTAAGAAACAATAACCATCTATTGATTGAACCTTATTTCTATTATACATTCCTGATTCCTTGTAGAAACAAAGTGTGTTATTGTTTAAAAGGTTCTGAGCTGTTCTTCAATTATCTAAATAAATCTACAGCCTAAAACAAATATTTACCTCAAACCCACAATTTACAAAAAAACACACAGCTAAAACACAAATCATGCAGTGGCTTACCTAAGAGAAGGAGGTATATTTTGCACTGAAAGACCCCAACGTTACTGCTGAAGGGCTCCATGAAAGCATCCTGCCCCATGTGTACGGTGCCCTGTTCCTAGTGGCCACTTGGTTCATGGACCAGCAGCTGCTGGTTTATTTGCTAGGGAAATTAGCAGTGAGGTAACAGACCCTATCCTGCCTCTTGCTTCTGTGATTTGAATACAGAATGAATGTGTATACAAAGGACACAGGGAGTGGGAACACCTGTTATATGTTCTGCAAGAATACTGGCTTATGACTTTCAGAACAGCTTCTTAGCCATTATCAGTAATTGTCGATATATTTGATAAATTATCCTTAGTTACTAATAATCACATGAAGGAAAACGCCCTTTTTGGTGACTTTATTAAAAAACAGTATGCTTTCATAATGAAGGCATGTTGTGAAATAGCCTGAAAAACAAAAAACTGCTTTCCTATCATGCAAAACTATGCTATTATTTTGAAATTAAAAATTTTCTATGAAAATTGAAGTATTTCATAGACCTGCTAAACAGTCACAAATCATCATGAAGTCACTAAAGAACATGTAGAAGTTAGACCAAAGAATCAAAATGGGGCACCTGAATGTCTTTAGAAATGTATTTTTCTATGTAGTGTTTCCTATTACACATTTCTGCTATGATTTTGTTGAACCTATGGACTCATGTTATTTTTAAAACAAACCACAGGTGTGTTTCCAAGTAACACTGGATTATGGGCTGGTATAGTTATAATGAGGGAAAAAAGAAAGCCTATGCCAGCAGATAATATCTGAGGCCACATTTTCACCACAGAAGCAGAGAGGAAGTGAACCAATGGTCCGGAGGTCTGACCACCGCTGTGGTGTCTGGGCCCCAGCTTTTCAGCCTGGCCTCGTCACTGCCATGGCAGCAGGCAGTCTGCACATTTCCGCTTAATTTACTAAGTTATAAGTTAACCCTCATTTCATTTCATTTCCTGCAAGAAAGCTCTAGTCCAAGCCTTCCACTATATAAAATAAAAAGTATATAACCAAATGCACATCAAATGGAGCAAAATTCCTTGCATAAATTATTTTTCACAATACATTTGTGAATAAAAGCTCACTGAAGATGTTCAGAGATAATAACAGGAAAGGAAGAATATTCCTCAAGCATAATTAAAGGTTAAAATAAATGAGAGTTATTTTGGAATTCAAGTTTGGAAACACTTTTTGCATTAAGGCTCCCAACTCTTCCAGAAGTGCTTCTATAGGCAAAGAAAGGGAGTGCCTGTTGGAAACCAGAAGCCTCTTTGGAGGTCACTTTGTGATCTCTCCATGCTTCGGAAAAATGACAAGAGCTCCCCCACACCCCAGGTAACTACTATACCACAATTTTCTCTGTGCTTGTACATGGCTATTGCAGCACTTATCTCCTTAACCTCAATTAATTTTATGGCATGTTTATTTTCCCTCTAATACAGATCAGTCTTATTTATTTATGAATCCTTAGCACCTAGCATAGTGCTTAACTAGTATTTTTGTTAAGTTGTTCCAAATGCTCTTTAGCCCATGTCTTCTGATTCTCAGTTCATGCTTAAGAAACATATATAAATTTTAATATTGGATTGCATAAAATACAAAATGGAAGTTATATAGATTTCACATGGACTATACCTCATATCTTTTAAATCAATATTAATCTGCAATTGCCTTTGTTAAATAAGCTCTTTGCAGTTTCAAACCCAGTGCTGGCTCAGGATGAAATTCTTTGGTCCTACAAAAATGAGAAAAATAAAGACATTGTAGTGAGTTTTTCCTAATGTTAAATTTACTTGATTTAAAGGATTAATTTTTACTGTGTTTGTTTGTTTCTTTTGGGTTATATTTAAAAATATCTGTTCTTTTCTGACATAGAGGGTAACAGAGGCTATGTACATAAATTATAAATAATATTACCAATAAATAATTGTCAAATGCCAAAATTAATCATAGTTGTGATCTTTCCACATCATAGCAAATATTAAAAAATAACAATACCTGTATGACACAACTCATAAAGTGCTGCTGGTGTAACTATGACAGAGCGCCCTCTAGCAGCAGGAGTAATTTCTAAATTCAGGATGTTTACACAGGAAGCCTTACAGGTAATGTTAACAAATAACTTCAACTGTTGTAAATTCCTACATGATTGTTAAAAATGGGTTAAAGTGTTTTATAAGAAAAGCCCCACCACCAATATCTCACATTTCACTTGTAACCCACTGGGGAGCGCTGCTCTACCATTCTATTCAGGAGCCTGTTTATTGATCTTAGTTATATGTGCATTTACAATGAAAAAACTGATGAATCTAAAACAATCAGTATTCATTATGATTACATTTCAAGCAATGCAAGAAGTCACTGGGGTGCGTGCGTGTGTGTGTGCGCGTGTGTGTGTGTGTGTGTGTGTGTGTAAGAGAGAGAGAAAAGGGCTGGGGGGAGAGAAGGTGTTTAATGGGAAGATTTTAATCAATTGTAAGTCTGACTTTGCTTTATAAAGCAAATAGTCTGCTACATTCATTCCAAACCACCACATTCTTTTTTTACTAGTAGCATATGAGTATTTTGCAATGGGAACAAGTGGGAGGGAGAGGTAGTGAAATGACCAGGTTAATGTAGAACAGTGGGGACTAGGAAGAACTGGGAAAAAGGAAGCACTGTCTTATGTTATAGCTAGATCCTAGGAAAGATTACAGTTTACAGGAAGAGCTGGCTGCTAGAGGAGGCCATCACACCTGCCCATGCCTGTGCTGGTGCTCACTTCTTATAGTTACTAGTATGTCTACAATGCTGCCTCCCAGAATCCTAGGTATACTGATAACTCTGCAGCAATGTCTTCCTTCCTGGGTCCCTCTCCAGGTCGCTGTTCTATCTTCAGCAAGGTTTCTGTATTCTGCTCCTGCTTGCTTAGGGAGTGCAGTTACACCATCTTGGAGATGTCACATCTTTCCACTGCTTTGATGTTTAGAGGATGATTAGAAATGTATCTTCATATATATATATCTTATTGATTTTTTACAGATATTTTTTACAGAGAGGAAGGGAGAGGGATAGACAACTAGAAACATCGATGAGAGAGAAACATTGATCAGCTGCCTCCTGCACACCCACTACTGGGGATGTGCCCACAACCAAGGTACACGCCCTTGACGGGAATCAAACCTGGTACCCTTGAGTCCGCAGGCTGACTCTCTATCCACTGAGCCAAACCGGTTAGGGCTAGAAATGTATCTTCTTAATCAAACCAAGATTTCAGCTTTAATTTAAGCTTCTAGAGCAGCGGTTCTCA